AGGAGGTCAGACACAGTACCAAAGCACACGATGGTGCAGCAATTGTACAGGTATGTTGACAGTACGAAGTGCCCAGCCATTAAGGCATTGGCAAAATGTCACTGTAGCCATGGCATATCACAATAGAAGCACACTGTGCGCTAGATCTTAGCGGCTACATTCCACGATTGTCCTGTCAACCACATCGTTATATTGGTTTCATCATCTAAGTAAGCACGCGTGCTCCTCAACTGTCTCCTTTCACTCAAACACTCATGGTCCCGCACCGTGTTGTTAGTAGAAGCAGACCAGTGTTGCCACATTGTACCCGCAGCGATTTACTACATCGTGTCACTATGAACATGTATTGCTTAGTGGAAGCGGACAGTGTGCCATGCATCGTACCGCAGCGATTTACTACAATCCGTGTCAACTGAACCAGTATTGTTAGCTAGAAGTGGACAGTGTGGCACATTTGTACCGCAGCGATTTACTACATCGTGGTCACCGCATGATGTTATTAGTAGGAAGTGACAGTGTGCCACATTGCTTACGCGCAGCGAGGCAGAGATTTACTTCATCGTGTCACCGCATCATGTTATTAGTGGAAGTGGACAGTGTGCCACATTGTACCGCAGCGATTTACTACATCGTGTCACCGCATCATGTTATTAGTGGAAGCGGACAGTGTGCCACATTGTACCGCAGCGATTTACTACATCGTGTCACTGTATCGCATCGTCGTCAGTAAAAGCAGACGGTGTGAAGTATCGTGCGATCGCAGCGGCTCTCAAAGTCTTGCAGCAGCTCATCAATCTCGTTGTCGAGGTCGTCGCACTCCTGCATCAGCTGGCACAGTTCGCAGATGAGAAACGCGCCGATCGTCGCCTCCTCGTGGTTGTCCTGGATGTCGATGTTGACGATGTGCACCGGCTGATTGTCCTCGACGTCGCGCTGCTGCAGCTCGGCGACGCACTGGTCGAAGACGCGCTCCTCGCACGAGAACACGACGTCGAAGCGCACCTCGCACTGCTGGAAGCGCTCCGGCTTCGGCTTGATGCGCCGGTTGCGGTCGATCATGTGCAGAATGCCGTTCTGCGTGTAGAGCGTGCGGTCTTTGCGCATGAGGTCTTCGTGCATCGCCTCGTACGTCGTGCCAAAGTCGTAGATGTTCGGCTTATCGGGCGATGCGCCGGGCAGCTTCACGCTCGTGCCCGTGCCGAACGAACTAACGTTGTAGCCGCGTTTGCTCAGAAAACTGTGCGCCTCCATGCTGCGATTCTGATTGCTTGAGCACACAACGGCCACCTTTAGCTCCCTCATGCTGCACATGTGAATGTTAGCTGCACTGTGAAGCTCGAACACAGACGATTGCGACTTTCAAAATGATTTAGATCTTCGCACTGGACCTTCTAATTAGTAATCTGTAGAAATCTAATCTGATCTGACGATGTCTGTGATGTGCATCAAAACGTAAAACCGAAATCAAAGTATAGAATTTATCTAACCAATGAAAAGGAAAATGGAACGTCACTTATCAGCACCAACTTTCACCGTATGTCGTGACAAAAAAATTGTTGCATACAAGTGCACTGCTTTTGAAGCTGCTATTCGAATGAGTTCTACTTGTTTAGTTGTACTCGAGGACTTGCCGGTAGAACGCCATACGCAGCGCCAGCGGTAGGCCTCAAGTGATTGTTTAGTTCACATTCATAAGATCAACTTGACCATAGGAAACCTCTTGTATCTTCTACTCTAAATTATATTAGGAAACGTATAACAAATTAATGAATTAATTAAAAGATGGATGCTTTACGCTGTCTATTACTGTGGGTTTTTACATGAGAAATGACAAGAAATTGAATGATACTTTATTTTCTGTCGACAACTACTTTACATCACGGTGCCATCTAGTGTCGTTTTTATGTACTACGTTAATCCGAATGCCCTACTAGTACTAGTATCATACAGCTAACCATGCGCTACTAGTAACTAAGTAAGTATATGCATGTAGAAAATATCTAATATATATATATATATATATTATAAATATTTTATCGACTATTTTGATTTTCGCTAGTACGAGTTTTCAATATAATTATTAGTTCAATATTCAAATTGAAAGCGCCCTCTATGTTTGAGCCAAACGTTGGTCAAATATGGCAACCTCCTTATGTTTACGTGGTCTGACCATTATTCGGCTAGTTGCCAAATATACACTGCGTTTGGCCGGCATAATTTTGTAAACAATCTCCGCATCAATCGCTTATGACGTTTAGTGTTGCTATTTTAATGGAGAACTGGC